ATGTTCCATGGGGAGTGCTCTGAGGAATTGTTCGAGATGATACCGGCATCTCGTTTTTACCATCGCACCGCCCGCCACCGGAGTAGAGTTCATCCATACTACCTGGAGCCACTGCGGTCATCCACAGTGCGTTTCCAGAGATCTTTTTTGCCACGTACCATCCGGCTATGGAATGAGCTCCCCTCCACGGTGTTTCCCGAGCGCTATGACATGTCCTTCTTCAAACGAGGCTTGTGGAGAGTATTAAGCGGTAGGCAGCGGCTTGGCTCTGCCCCTGGCATTGCTGAAGTCCATGGGCGACGGTAACCACTCACCATCAGGTGGGCCGTATGCCCGTCTGCCTACAAAGGCAATAAAAAAAAAAAAAAAAAAAAAATGTATATAAATAATGCTATATTCAATAAAAAAGGTGGATAGGCAATAATTATACGGCAAATAGGTGATTTGCCGATAATCGCTCGTTTGTGACATACTAACCATGCTGCCGCGAAACAGAATTGCTCAACGTGAATCAGAAATAAATAACGTGAAGATTTACAAGATTAATAAATTATTATAGTGGGTAATAAGGTAATAACGTCATCTTAAAAAAAATACTACAGCTAATTTTGATACTTGAACTTTTCAGTTAAATTTCATTTCAACAAAAATATTTCGTTTTAATCATATATGCTTTGGCCGGTAAAGTAATAATCGAATATAGGAAGCAACCCTACATATCTAGACGTAGCGTTCATTAGTAAATTATTAAGTATTTCTCCGTAAAATAAATAAAGTAATCAGGAACAGTAATTGAGCTCGGAGAAGCAGAACAATCTGTGAATGAAAACCATCTAACATCCAATAGGTATAACATACATTTGTTAACATAGCATTATTATTTGCTCAGTGGATGTTTGCTTAGGACTCATAGCATTAACAAATTTCAAAGTACTTACTGCCTCAAGGGTTCCTTGGGAACTACAACCCGAGTCAACATATACGTATTTGACATTGTACAGGCACAACATTAATATACTTGTTTTATTTGGCTTTAACACTTTCACAGCGGGCACTTTGTTTTAATAGAACATATTAAATATATAAACCTCTATTTCCTATATCCGCACAACGGAGAAGCCGAGTTCTACCACAAGACTGATACAGACGAGGTGTATCAGGCCTCGTTTTGTACTATGTATTTATTTTCTGGCACCTTTATCCGTATCCTATAGTAGGTATCTTATTAAGTTAGTGGATGTAACATCAAACAATAAACGAAAATCGTGTTTGTGTATCGAGTCTTAGGGACTATTTAAAAAAATACTATCCTCAATTCAGCTCGACATGAGAACGAGTAATGGGATCGATATCTGAGGATCATAGTAGCCTTACCATTAGCAACAATGTGCTATTAGGCAACTACTCCAAATGTAGTACCTATCATCCGACAGAAACCGCAATATTGTCATCTTGATTTCGTATCTAGCTGGCCCCTATATGTCAAATCGAGTGCTAGTCTGAGTCGTCTTGGCCTAAAGTATAAGACGACAGATTCATTCTTATCGAACGATGTGACTGTGACAGTGTTTGAATACCCCAGCGGGTACTTTTTTGCAATGAAACACTTACTATACACATGATCACTAATGACTTCCATGATGAAGGAATAACGCCGTGTAATAAAAATAACATCTGTAAAAATTGTAATTACCGTAATTACCAGTGATAGCGCGTCATGTGAGCGAGTAACATATGTTCACGATTGACTTCCACGGTGAAGGAATAAGATCGTGTAATAAAAATAAAACCCGAAAAATTATAATTTGCGTAATTACCGGTGGTCGCGCGTCATAACGCGTCATAACGCGCGTGAGCGAGCAATAATGCGTTTCAGTTTCAAGGGTGGAGCAGTCGTTATATTGTAAAAACCGAGACTTAAAACTTATATATCAAGATGGAAGGCGGCGTTGACGTAGTTGATGTCTATGGGCTCCGGTAACCACTTAGGTAGGCCATGAGCTCGTCCAGCCATGTATGCAATAAAAAAATTATATTACACTCAGTAAATATTAATGTAAACATGTTTTTGTTAACAGACAGTAACTTCGTGCTTGGTAATGCACAAGTGCCGTCGTACCCGATCGTGTACTGCTCAGATGGGTTCTGTGAGCTGACAGGCTGGACAAGGGCCAACATAATGCAAAAGGCCTGCGCCTGTAAGTTCCTCCACGGCCCAGACACGAGAGATGAACATCGCAAGGAGATTGACACCGCACTGGACACCAAACACGAGCTGAAGTTGGAACTTATCTTTTATAAGAAAAATGGTATGAGTAACATATTTATCAAAGATTTTAATTTCTCATCTAAGCGTCTATGTATCTAAAAACCTGAAACACAACAAAGATTAGGTCAATCAAAAAATGATTCTCATTTTTGTTACTTAAACTATTTCACATATTAAAACTATTGTTCACAAAACAAAGAACCATGTGTTAAGAAAGTTATTCGAATTCACGAAATAATTCGATTCAGTAATCAACGGACGAAAATCAACAGTTCCTTTGATAAGATAAACATTGCGTCATTTACGAAATACGCACAGCGGCACAGGTAAACGATCTCTTCGATAAATAAATATTAATAACTGGAGTGTACCTGTTTCTAGTTTTATCGTAATCAAAATTCCGTTTATGAAAGCCGATGCTTTTAAAGTGTGTGCTTCAAACAAATACTGTTTTCTTTAGTTCGTGCATTAATCGATTCGTGAAATCACTACGAATAATTCAAACGCTTTATAGGCTACTTAATGGAAAATAATAAATATTGTAATGAAAAAACAAATCTCAATCATGAATTTTAACGTATTCTCTTTATATTAACTTCGAAAACGGGAAGTGGTTTTTGGATTTGTTGTTACAAAAACAGCCCGTCCACCACAATCGTAAACAAAAACCAATAAGGCGTTTACGATTCCATTCGACAGAATTAAACTTTTACAAGCGCCCAGCTGTTCGTCGTCACCAAACGTTTACGGCCTTCAAGAGCGACGCAATACTACTGTATTAGAGACTATAAAGAGCACTCCAATATGACACTCCGAGAACATTTCACAGATCGTTACATATACTGAACTAGCGACCCGCCCTCGCTTCGCTTCGGAAACTGTAATTTATTATTGATTTCTCCACTATTAAATGGATGTTATTATACATATAAACCTTCCTCTTCAATCACTGTATCTATTAAAAAAAACAGCATCAAAATCCGTTGCGTGGTTTTAAAGATTTAAGCATACATAGGGACAGACAGATATAGGGACAGAGAAAGCGACTTTGTTTTATACTATGTACCTAGTAATACTGCACATCTGGACGTCTGGATTGAACTGAATCGAAATTATACCCGAGTTTCACTTCATTGATAAAAGAATTTTATTAACTTTATACTCCCCAGGATCTCCTTTTTGGTGTCTGCTGGATATCGTTCCAATTAAGAACGAGAAACGAGAAGTCGTTTTATTTCTCGCTTCGTTCAAAGACATCACCAATACCAAGATGGCCGCCATGAACACTAACGAGGAATTCGACAGCGGTGAGTACTTTAAGGGGACTATCTAGAGACACTTGTGAATATGCCTATTTTATATAAACTTATTACGTATATTATTAAGTTACTGTGAATTCTGAATAATCACTAAAATATTAAAGATGCAAATATTAAAAATATTAAGCACGTTCTTTTAGTGACATTTTAGGTGCTATGGTTGCTAGCGTTAGATTGAGCTCACGTAGCTCCTAATTGCCATAGCAAGTTACGAGCATCACCGCACGGTAAAGTTCTCTACGAATGTTTGTTTCTACTAGATACTGTTTAAATGTGATCGACATTAGTCCAAGTAGTTAGAATTTTGTAATGTTTAAAAACACTTCAAATACACTATCCTCACTTCTGATATATTTTTTCTATACGTAATTTTTGGCTTTATCCTCCGTGCAAAGTGTGTTGTAAGGTCTACAAAATATCTCAAAACGATACAGTTAATTATAAAAGAATCGTTGAATAAATTGACTATTTCTAGAACATTTATATTAAGTTTCTTTTAATATTCTTAACCAGGAATAGGACATGCTACACTTAATATTTAATACATAGAAAACTCATTGTAATTAAATAATGTAAAACATAAATGTATGTATGAAAGACGAAAAAAACCACCCTGTCATTTTCCAATATATAATATAAAACAATTGGCAATGTCGCCAGTTTCAGCTGCGTGAGCATTCTGCTTTCATTCTGTGATTTTATGATTTTTATTATGATTATTATTTTCGTAGTTTTGGAAATTTTATTATCTTTATTAGCATGCCCCAAAGACCATATTACCTGTGGTCTAGTTACAGTTTGTAATTCCCTCCTGGCTAAGCTCGTGCTCGCCCACCTGTCCCTTGAAACTGGAAAGGCCTCCGGGCCATCAGTAATCCTTCCTTCCCTATATTTTTTTTGTAATTGTACCATCTAGCCATAAGATCGATTCAATTGATTAGTAAAATTATGTAAGTACAAGACAAGTAAGTGAATACCTTGACAAGCCATCGATGAAAATGTTGAAGTCATCTTTTTTGTTGATTAATGAAATAATTCACTAGTTTTAACAAACACACAATAAAATTAAAATTTTAACTTTAAATAAAATATTCACGCCCCAATTAAAATGGCAGCCATATAAATTCAACATTTGAGAGGTGTCAACTTACACGTCTCGTACTAATTATGATAAAAGTTGCGTGTGCTTAAATTAGCTTTTTCTTAGCATATTTTACTCTGAATACGAGTTAAAAAAAGCATTTGTCATCAAGTCGCTTCTTATAAGTAATTTAGAATTTTTATTGTTTTTATTACATACTATACCTCATTATCATTTCCATTCCATGCCATATAATGGCATTTAAAATGCAGGGTTTTTATTGAGCCACAGGCGTGTTTTTATAAACTTTTCCTGGAACATCAATTATCATCATTAATGTAAGGACACGCAAATTTTATTGTTTTATGTTTAATTTTAAAATATTTTTTATTCATATGCTTAAGGTACTTTTAGTCACAAAAAGCGTTTCATGTCAGCATGGGCCAGTAGAGATCTCTATAGATCTAATATTGTAGTTCATAAAATTCATTTGAGAAAAGCGATTTGGTATAGCTAATTTGCCTAAATTTCATCGAAATATAATAGGTTATTTACATGTGCTATTTTATAAAAAACTTATTCAATTTCAGTCGCTTAATGTCTGCTTTAATAGACTGGTGACATTTCTGATATACTGATTTTCTGTTGTCCAAAATCTCTTTCGTTCTCGCAAATAAACACGTATAATGTGATCCAATTTATAAGTACATACTTGTCATACCTACGCATTAACTTATCAGTTTGATTTGACGTGTTTGAGTTTAATAAGCTGAATGAATACCAATACTGCTATCGATAACTTGTATTTTTCAAATAATTTTTTTATCATCAATTGTAACATAGAGATTTTGGACGCTCAAACGAAAATTGTAAAACTTGACCACAAGGTTTCTTTTCATAGTATCAAATTTACGATAATCTCCAGCGATCTTCAACACAATAGCTATAACTGTAAGAATTTTGGATTCCTTACAGTCGATTGACTACCTATTCTGCTTCTTTTTTCAATTACGAAGTAAATACGCTGAACGACAAAAAAAGAATCGTACCGATGAACAAATTGAAAAGAAATATTGTGGAAGGTACTCGATAATATTAGACATAAGCGACAAAGTGATCGAAGCTACCGTACAGTAACAGGGTGGTTTATGCGTACAGGAGCCGCGGTGCGGCCTTCGGCTGGCGTGGTCACTCTAGCGTTATCCCCATTTGTACCCGCAGCGGCACTCTTGGGCGCCAGGTTCCGCGCTGAATCTAGTTGCCTACTTCCAGACCCGAATGGGAATCTTGACCCAGAAGCGCCTTCGCCCGCGAACATGGGTAGGCGGCGCTCGCGTGCTGTACTATACCAGCTTTCAGGACATTACAAACCAGACAAAATGAAGACTAAACTCAAACTCAACAATGTGAGTTTTGTAATAAAATTTTAAGCCTTCGTTACTAGTGGACACCGTAAGACCTGATTTTGATAGGACACTGGAGGATTTATAAATTTAAGTTACATACCTTTACAGAACCTACTTCACTCAACCGATCCGCCTTTACCAGAATACAAAACGTCCGCTGTGAAAAAATCGAGATTTATAATATCGCACTATGGAGTTTTTAAAACATTTTGGGACTGGCTCATTCTCATAGCGACATTTTACGTGGCTGTCGTAGTTCCATACAATGCGAGCTTTGTAGACGAAGGCCATCCGAGGATCAGCGTAACGAGTGACGTCATTGTGGAAGCTCTCTTCATTGTCGGTAGGTAAATCACATTTTCCCAAACAATTTTTTTGTTTTTAAACAATATCAACTTTAATAATTTTATCTTATAGATATCGTACTCAACTTCCGAACGACGTTCGTGAGCAAGAAAGGAGAAGTAGTTTCGGACTCAAAAGCGATAGCCCTTAATTATATCCGGTCTTGGTTCGTGGTAGATCTCTTGGCGGCGCTCCCGTTTGACCTACTTTACGCGTCGGACGTATACAGCGGAGCGGTAAGTTAGTGCTGCTTACTAATTAATAGCGCCGTTATTTAATTACAGCTTCAACTTAAACGGTCTCGCGTATTTTCACCGCAATTACTGCACGGTGTGAGCTTCGTCGTATTTTATTCACGTAGATGAGAAACGGTTTCTTGGTGTTAAATAGGAATTGGAGCGGTTACCCATCCGTAGACTTGGGTGTGGTTGGTTTGCGAAAAAATAAGGCGTACTGTGACAATCATTTAGTAAATTCGATTTTAGTAACACGATGTTATTTTGCAGGTCAGTGATACACTTTTTTTTCTGCTTAAATGGGTAGACGAGCTCGAAGTTTGTCTAGTTTTAGTGGTTACCGGAGTACATAGACATTAACAACGTAAATGTCACCGCCCACCTTGAAACACGTGTTCCAAGTCTCAGTGTTACAGTGTAACTACATTATAATTAGAGCTATATACATATTAATACGTAAAGCAAAAACTTTGTATCCCTTTTTACGAAAATTGCGCGGACGGAGGAGTATGAAATTTTCCACACTTATAGAGAATATAGAGAAGAAGTGCACAATGCTAATATTTTTTTTAAATTATGCGTCAATAATACATTAAATCAATAAGAAAACATTACACACACTACCATGTATTTGACACACACACATATATAAACTCTATTTATTGTCAAACATTTGTTATTGCTTAAAGTCTGTGGTCAAATTAAGAATAAGTTACTATTGTCTATCTTTAATATTATTTGACTTGGCGAAAAGTGTGAATAAAGAAATCTATTAGTCTTTGACAATATAACCTTAATAATGTTCAAACTTATAATTACAATTAATTATAGTCGAATCTCGACTACTGCGGGACCACTAGTACCTGTTAATGTATAAGAATGATTTCATTATGGATTTACGACAGCATTTATGTTTCGGAAGATTAATTTCCTGGCATATTATGCAGGAATCAACCCACGGAAATGTGCATTTAGTGAAGTTAACGAGGCTGCTACGACTGGCGCGACTCCTGCAGAAGATGGATCGATACTCCCAGTATTCGGCGCTGATATTGACCTTATTGATGCTATCCTTTACGCTTGTCGCGCACTGGCTCGCCTGCATTTGGTTCATAATAGCGGAAAAAGAAATTGAAGTTCACAAAAATGAGATTTGGGATTTAGGTAAAATACAATATTCTTTTTCATCTTACTTAAAGCCGGTCTTTTAAATTAAAGAACACTTATTGCGGCATAACTATAATAGTTAGACATATTATTATGCTGTCGCGACACTTTTTGTTAATAATAATGTGTTCTACATAGTCGTAGTACATTATTTTATTCTATCATCAATAGTTTTCGCAAGGCACGCGATGTTAAGAATATTTTAGGTAATTTTTTTACACCTTCGGTTACATTATTTGAGTTTTAGTAAGGATCCCTAATTTTTTTTCAAAAAAGATTATAGCCTATGTCACTCGGGAATAGTGTAGCTTCCAAACAATGAAAGAATTTTTCAAATCGGTTCAGTAGTTTCGGAGCCTATTCAATACAAACAAACAAACAAATTTTTCCTCCTCTTTATAATATTAGTTTAAATAACTAACGCTGCTAGCAGACACAATAAACTATCAATGAGCTATTAAAGTATGTTTGTTTATGATTACATATTTGATTAGCATAAATTTTAATCAAATCTGAACTTCAAATAATTTTAATACGACATTACATACTTATCATTATTTTAGACGGAAACTTTAAAAAAATACTTCTAATTCAAACCCATAAGTAAACCAGCACAAGAATTTTAAAGTAAAATAAATATTTTTGTTTTAAAGATATATTTTTATATCTATCTGCATCTTAATAACTTGCAAATAAACTGGTCTCGAACCTTAAAAGGGTTGAATGTTTACTTCCTTAATATACCTAAATGGAAAACAGGGTGATCAGTCTTTCTTCAGACGAGGTTTAAGGAAAATGTTTCATAAGGCACGGTTAAGCCTTTGACAGCGGTATCCGTGGGTGACAGTGATTACTCTCTATCAATGTGATTCGTACAGAATACAAGATCAATAACCTAAATAAGGGCAGGTTCACAAAAAATCTTCTTAAAATTTATTATTATAATAATTACATTATTTGATGTCGTCGTGGCCTAAACGATAAGACGTCCGGTGCATTCGTATGTAGCGATGCAATCGTTATGTTCGAATCCCGCCGGCAGGTACCAATTTTTCCAATGAAATACGTACTTAACAAATATTGACGATTGACTTTCACGGTGAAGGAATAGCATTGTGAAATAAAAATTAAACCCGCAAAATTATAATTTGCGTAATTACCGGTAGTAGGACGCCTTGTGAGTTCGCACGGGTAGGTACCACCACCCTACCTATTTCTGACAGCCAGCGGTTAAGGGTTTTTTTCGAATGTTGAACGTTTTTTCATACGTAGAAGATTCTAGCAGTCGCGTAACACCCTCAGGAGAATTCGTTCCAGGACCAAATGTCAAAAATGATTTCTCTTAGAAGTCGTTTGGAACTTAAAGACATTTTATTTTCAGTTTATTTTAAGGTAGCTTTTTGTTACTGTTCCGATTTCTTGAGCGATTATTGAAACTACCACAGAAGTGTGTCAATACATTGATGATATAAAAACTATGATTGAACTGATTGTTCGTTTGTACATCACAGAAAAACTATTTTTTATTATTCTGCTATTAAATATATTTTTTTGTTTTTGATAGATATGATTACCACGTATATAATACATATATTCAGAAACATTGAAGTAACAGCAATTTAAATAAGCTTCCATTTAAAGTAACAAACATTCATATTATTGATCATTTATCATCACAATTACAATTTTTCTTAACAAATTAAAGTATACGTTAAAATAAACATAGTAGAAAATGCTCTTAGAAAATGCAATAGCTCGAAAAAGCACTTCTCGTTTCAATTTTGTCCCATTATAGTACAGAGCAGCAACGACCTGCCCCAAGTTTTTATCACTTGAATAAGCCTTAAAGTTTTATTACTCTTTTAGTGACGTTTATTGCGTATGATAAGAATTTAACTGAATATCAGGTCCAACCCGGAGTATAATCAAAGTAGATAAAGATTTTAAATTATCATACAAATGCTACAGTTGGTATTTTTTCGTATTACCTTATTTACCGGAGTATTTGAAATATTTATTGACCTGAATCAAAAGAAATGGTAAATCTGGAATAGTTGAAAGTAATTTAATTTCATTTGACTGATGCCAAACAAACCTATTCCAATATTGATTTCTTAATTTATCGTCCATAAAAATAATACTTCAAGCTAGTTCTTAGTACTTAATTATCGTCTGAACATATTGCAACGTAAGAACAATATAATAATATTTAAAATCGCATAAAAATTTGGAAAAAGAAAGGTCTATTCCATATCATTATATCTAATATTTATACGCCACTGAATTTACGATTTTCTTCTTAAATTTTGTTGAAAATGTAACGTTTCATAACCAACAAAAAGTTTAAATAAGAATAAAGTACGCTTCATAGAACATAAACTGAAAACTCTGGCAATCAAGAATCGAGATGAGGAACTTTTTTATTGCTTCCAAGTCGAAGGGAATATACATCGGGACGCGCTCATTCCACGATTTGAGAACTTTTGCAAATGACAACGCTTTATATCGCTAACATAAAAGTCTTTTTAATTTTGAGATTCAAAGCTCATAAATTTATTACCGTGTGATTTTTTTTAAATGTTAAATCGAAACACTGTCACCTTTTTCTATATGTTTCGAATAGTCTCTAATACGATTTCTGATCAGGCGACGGTAAATTTCCTTATTATATCTAAACGCCAAAAAAGAAGAAAGAAGAAAGAAAGAAAGAAAGAAAGAAATAAAGGGTATTCTTTATTGTACACTAAAAACAAATAAACAGTGCGATACATTAAATACAAAAAAGTACAATTGGCGGCCTATCGCTAAGAGCGATCTTTTCCAGACAACCATCAGGTGGACAAGAATCATTTGGAAACGAATGACGCGCCAAGTTTGTGTACAACTACTTAAATGCAAAAAAAACTATTACAAAAAAGTACTAAATAACTTTTAGAGAATTAGGTACGCGTTAATCTTCATAGCTTCATTAACATAATTCCCTTCGTCCTTAGTTTATTTTGTCAAACAATAAATGCTCAGCAGGATAATAAGATTGTAAATAAAAAATTATATTATTTCCTTAAACATACACCACTCATACTATTTGCATTAAGCAGGCTGGATAAACAACCTAGCGGAGAGACTGAAAGTGCCCATCATTAACATATCACACAGCGAGAGCTACGTCACCGCACTTTACTTCACCTGTTCCTCTCTGACAAGCGTCGGCTTCGGCAACGTTTCGGCGAACACTCTCCCAGAGAAGATTTTCAGCATAATCACCATGTTGATTGGAGGCAAGTTAATTAATTTCAGTCCTTTTAACAAAAGTAAATACATTTTCAACCTACGGCTTTGAGTATTTCCAAAAATGTTGGTACGAATTTAAAGTAAATGAAATCTACTGAATTGGTGCTGCTACTGTTATGCTTTTGACAGATTTAATCCATTTGAACTACTTATTTATACTTAAGTAATACGTAATAAAAACTAGATAAATTTTATTTGTGTTTTTTTTATTTATTTTTTGCTTAGTTGGGTGGACGAGCTCACAGCCCACCTGGTGTTAAGTGGTTACTGGAGCCCATAGACATCTACAACGTAAATGCGCCACCCACCTTGAGATATAAGTTGTAAGGTCTCAGTATAGTTACAACGGCTGCCCCACCCTTCAAGCCGAAACGCATTACTGCTTCACGGCAGAAATAGGCAGGGCGGTGGTACCTACCCGCGCGGACTCACAAGAGGTCCAATCACCAGTAATTACGCAAATTATAATTTTGCGGGTTTAATTTTTATTACACGATGTTATTCCTTCACCGTGGAAGTCAATCGTGAACATTTGTTGAGTACGTATTTCATTAGAAAAATTGGTACCCGCCTGAGATTCGAACACCGGTGCATCGCTTCAACACGAATGCACCGGACGTCTTATCCGTTAGGCCACAACGACTACAAAACTGTTTTGGATAAAACATTAAATTTTGTACGTGTTATGTTATCAAGTAGTTTTATGGTTTTAGCGAAGGTGCTATATTGTTCAATCGTTTAAGTGATATGTTATATCAAAATTTGTAATCTCAAATTTGTTTGTTAATCTCCCACATGATACATAACTGGTTCTGTCGCTATTTATATCGCCGCGGAAGATAATGCTTAGTCATAGAGATGATATCTTTGTTTGTTGTTTCAATATTTTTTTTAAATATACATTTACAGGAGGGCTTATCTAAGGGCTTACCTTATGATTTTTTATGTTGATGCTATTTTGCAAATGTAATTATCGAAATAGAGACATTTAACACTCATTTAAGTCTAACACCACATTATCAAGTTAGTCATCTATCTTGCCACTCGACAGCACATAATTGTCTACCTTGAATTTAACGGCCGTCTGGTGTAGTGGTAAGTGACATGGCCACTACACAAGGGGGTCGCGGGTTCGAATCCCGCCAAGGGAAGGTATTTGTATGATAAATATAAATGTCTTTTCCAGGGTTATGGATGTATATTAAATATATGTATGTGTATAATAAAAATCTTACATTTATATCCGTTATCTGGTACCTGTAACACAAGTTCTTTACGAACTTATCACGGGACCAGTTAACGTGGCGTGATTGTTAGTAAATATTATTATTTATTTATTTATTATTAAAAAGTCTGGGAACTATGAAATCCTATTCACTAATTAAGTGGACTGTTTTATACTATTTAAGTACCTAGTTTTCTTTATTCGTTTTTTTCTCATCTCAATTTTTTTTGGTATCCATGATTTTCGGGTGCTATACACAATATAATGTTTATTATGTGTGGAGGACTCATTTCTTAAGATGAGTCGGAAGACTCAATTTTTATAATGATGGCTTCCCTACCTTTGGAACCGGAATGTATTACTGTTTCACATTAGTCCTACACAGAAAAGTATTTCGTCTTTTCGCATTAAAATTGTACAATTTCCAAAAATATTCGAAATTGAGTTAATATGCGAAATCATTTGGTATCACCAGTATTTTTCTCATAAATACTGTCAAAAGAGCGTAGTTTAGTTTTAACTTTTTTTTTCTTTTTAGTTTACCTATATTTTGAATAATATTAACAAAATTTATACATCATTTTATCTTACTTTAAAAGACAGATAATGTAACTGGTAAAATATTCAAAAAATAAATGTTGCAAAGATGATTAATATTAAAAATATCACATGTAAAATTAGTAAGTTTTGAGACTATACAGTTTTAATGCGAGAAGACGATTTATCTAATTGTACTAACCCAAGATTATCATTTATTATAATTTATACAATTTCGCACAGACTATGTCGGTGTTGTGTTCACAACACTATCTTAATTTTTCATCCTGAAAGTCGTTCGCGAGCACGTATCCAACCAAAGTTTCAACCCCGACATCACTGTATCAAGTGCTTCGAGTGCTATATCCATTATGGCGGAGACACATGAAGCGCTTCTATAAATTATTCCCTTTTTTCTTGTTTGTTAATGAGAATTAAAGCTGTTTTTTTGAATAAATTTCTGCGAAAATTCTTGCCGAGAAGATATTGAGCTTTATTAACATTCTCTTCGGGGGCAAATATCTAAATGGTAAACTTCGCGAACCCTATTTAAAGGAAAGGTAATTTATTTTCTCACGTTCATTAAAATACAGTCAAGGTTCTACTTTTGCTCGAGCTTAAACATTTAACTACAATGTGGAGGAGAGTGTTTAATTTAGTTTACACTTGAGAAACCCAGTCACGATTCATTGTGACTATCGTTAATTTAATGAAAAATAAACTATTTCGTTTAAATACTCGCGCACCACCATTGAAACATTGAACTGGTGGTAGGATGTCTTATGAGTCTGCATGGGTAGGTACCACCACCCCGCAGTGTTTCTGCCGTGAAGCAGTAAGGCGTTTCGGTTTGAAGGGGGGATGGGGGTTCAGCCGTTGTACTGTTAACAGTAAAACCTCATGTCTCGAGGTGGGTGGTGGCATTTACGATGTAGATGTCTATGGGCTCCGGTTACCACATAACTCCAGAAAAGCCGTGAGATCGTCCACCCGTTTAAGTTATAAAAAAAGCCTCGACCGTACTATGACAGAAAACTTCCTTTGCGCGCTAACAGTAGCTGTCCCAAGTTGAATATAGACAGATGAATGGCAAGAAAATTCTATTGGCGAATGCGAAACTATCGATCTTTTTCATTTAAAACACGTTGGATACAAAAAGTGGGTTGGTTCATTATCTCGCTTATTTTTCTAGCTCTAATGCACGCGGTCGTTTTTGGAAACGTCACGGCGATCATTCAAAGGATGTACTCTCGGAGGTCAATGTACCAGAGCAAGTGGCGTGATCTGAAGGACTTTCTCACTATCAATCAAGTTCCGACGGAGCTGAAACAAAGAATGCAGGACTATTTCCAAACGATGTGGTCGCTAAATCATGGCATCGATATTCATGAGGTGATTATGATAATTGGGTTCATTCAATCAAAAGCGAATCGCTGCTCCTATATTAACGATTCTTCGATCTCATTAGGTCTCATAAGATGGGCGTTGGCATTCATATCGTGATGTCAACGGACATCGTTAACGTCTATTTGGCCACAAGCTTGTTTGCCTATCGAAGTTCAAAAATATCATTACACACATATTTTTACGCACATATTTTATATCTAATAATACTTCCAACCGTAACAAGATGTGTTATTTCTATAAATTAAGACAAACAACAAAAAGATTTGGAATTTTCAAAACGAGATTTCCACACGAAGTTACACGATCATTAACATTCGAAGCGAACTAATACTATCGGTGATATTGGAAAAGTTTTGACTGTTCTACATACGTTACCTGAAAACGCCTTCATCACTTTCGTTGGAGATGTAGGAACCCGAAAGCTTTGAAGTCTTACTGAATTCGAAATTGGTTAAATGGGCAGAAAACTAAATGTAATAACTTTTTTATAATATATAGGTATTATTCACAACAATTCTATTCGAAAAAAAAATCTGATTTTCTTTTATATGAATTCATGGAGCCACCCATGGTATCTAAAAAATACATATCCACGATTTTTTCTTCACTTAAAATTTTAATTAATAAATTATGAGCTATCTTTGAAATCAAATCAACTTTATGTGAAGTTGGTATCGAAAGTGTTGCAAATAAAAGAAAATACCTTCCTAATCGAAATCCAATATTTCAGACGCTTAAAGAATTTCCCGAAGAACTGAGAGGCGACGTATCGCTACATTTGCATCGTGAGATCTTGTCACTTCCAATATTCGAATCCGCGTCCCAGGGATGTCTCAAATTGCTTTCGCTACATATTCGGAACAACTTCTGCGCCCCCGGCGAATACCTCGTCCACAAAGGCGATGCCCTCACGTACATCTATTACATCTGCAACGGATCCATGGAGGTGGTACAAAACGATATGGTCGTCGCTATTCTCGGTGAGCTTTAAATAGTATTTGATCATTTATGAAATATATTTTAATTATAAAAAAATACTCCGTTTTAATTAGTTAGTTGGATGTTTTGTGTGTAGGACAATAGAAACGCAGTTCGAAGCTTTTGTTATTATTAAATGTTTCATATTCAGTTATTCAAGTTAGCTACTTTATATAATACTAGCGACCCGCTCTCGATTCGCTTCGGAAACATTAAATTTTATTATTGATAACTGAGTCCCGCGATGTTTCCTGCGGTTATTGTGATACCGCGGGTGACGCCGTAGGGCAAAGCTGGTCTAAAAAAAGTAGCCTAAGTTACTCCTTATATCATCAGCTAAATATCAGTGAGTCTCGTCAAAATCGGTCCAGCCGTTCCAGAGATTAGCCGGAACAAACAGACAGACAGACAGATAAAAATTGTAAAAAATGTTATTTTGGTGTATGTACCTAATTATATATATTCACATGCAAGTAGTAAAAAGCGGTTATTTCAATATTATAAACAGACACTCCAATTTTATTTATATATACAGATATATTATTATAGGTGCCTAAGTGAAATCTCAATTTAAGATTCAAATATTACAAAATGAAGAAACAAGTGTAATGCATCTAACCTAATATTTAATAAGTACTATTTCTCTGTAGAGCACAATTTCAAATATTTGCAATTTTCATTCGCTTAACTGCAGATTTTATCATAAGTATTCGATAGTGATAATTTGAATTTCAAAGCTTAGATCCAAAATAGCTAAAATTCCTTGAAAATAAGAAATTGCATTAAAGGGTGAGAGAGTAAGTATACCATATTGCACACCAAAACAAAATTAACACTGAAAACCAGTTAACAAGTTGGTATAATTTGTGCAATAGTGTTTTCGCTAAAAGCGATCTTTTCTAGATAACCGATCTCACCTAGGGGAATTCTGAAAGAGATACTTCAGATATGATGCGGTGTACTGGTATTGATAATTCTCAGTCATACTACAGAGAGGTCCAAAAAATAGACTAAACCTTCAAATGAAGTGTTTTGGGAGAGTTTGAAGTCGTCGTGGCCTAACGGATAAGACGTCCGGTGCCTTCGTGTTGAGCGATGCACCGGATTCGAATCTCAGGCGGGTACCAATTTTTCTAATGAAACAACTCAACAACTCTTCACGATTGATTTCCACGGTGAAGGAATAACATCTATACTAATATTATAAAGAGGAAAGATTTGTTTGTTTGTTTGTTTCGCATAGGCTCCGAAACTACTGGACCGATTTGAAAAATTCTTTTTCCATTAGAAGCCGACATTGTCCCTGATGAACATAGGCTACTTTTTTTTATTTATTTTTTTGGTTTCATGTGTGTTTTAATGTTTCCGAAGCGAAGCGAGGGCGGGTCGCTAGTAGTGTAATAAAAATGAAACCCGCAAAATTATAATTTGCGTAATTACTGGTGGTAGGACCTCTTGTGAGTCCGGGCGGGTAGGTACCACCGCCCTGCCTATTTCTGCCGTGAAGCAGTAATGCGTTTCGGTTTGAAGGGTGGTGCAGCCGTTGTAACTATACTGAGACCTTAGAACTTATATCTCAAGGTGGTTGGCGCATTTACGTTGTAAATGTCTATGGGCTCCAGTAACCACTTAACATCAGGTGGGCTGTGAGCTCGTCCATCCACCTAAATTGCTTAAAAAAAAAAGGCCGTCTCCAAGCTTAGATTCAAAATAGGTAACATTTATTGAAAATAAGATATGATATTGCATTAGCACCGCTGCGACAAGTTATGTTATGATGATATTTCAAAGATATTTCACATTAATCATCAATATTGCTTAACACCCACACTGCGTCTTCAATCCTGCAATCCCTTTTTATTACAATGTTCAATGATTTATAACCTCAAGGTTTTCAGTATAAGAGAAGCAATGTCATATTATTATGTCACGGGCAAAATTGATCCTATTATCGTCCCACACGTTAAGCAGATTTGTCAAATATCAAATATTTGAATATTAATAATTTATGCATGAAAATTTATCGAACAGGTAAAGGAGATTTGGTTGGGTGCGACGTAAACACCCATTTACAGGCTTACAACGGTACAGGAACGTCTCAAGGAAACAATCCAGACATCGTCGTCAAATCTAGTTGTGATGTAAAGGTATTCAATTATTCGACTTGCAAATATACATACACGGTAACGACAAACCGTTTTCTGTCTTTGTGTTTCTGTAAAATAATTAATCGTCCTCTTACGAGATAAAGGACAGGAAGACGAGAGCTGTAGGAATCTGATTAAAATTATCTCATGTAATTTACGTAGACGATTAGGGGCGGTGTATCTGTGTGTGTGTGTGCGAAATTTGCGAACCAAAATCTCAGTATAAACTGAATCTTAGCTTATAACTTAATTGAAGGATTATACCTATCCGCGTACTTAAACGTAGCTCAATTCATTATAAAGACTTACTCAAATGTAAATATGGAAAGTTTGTTTGATACATTTTGTGTCTATGACATTAATCATCAAACGAGGTTTAAAGAAGTTCCTTGGCACTATATAGCGATTTTTTGTGCTAGCTATTTCTGGCATTGGCGATGTCTATGAGTGACACTAGTCTTACTTCCTTCCATAACGACTACGAATTCGATGACAAGAAAAAATCAACACATTTTCATAATATACCTATGCATTTAAATCAAGATTCGTGACAAAGTCACATTTTTCTAGTTTGGACACATTTTACTCGTATATTACTATCAATCATTTCATTTCATGATATTTCTCACTTTATTCATCATCATCATCTTCATCAGCCTACAGCCGTCCACCGGAGGACAAAGGCATCTTCCAATTTACACCGGTGAGTTTGGTATACGGCTTTCCTCATCCATTTCTTGACGGACGCTCTTCCCAAGTAACTCAAGATTTGTCTAAAGATTTGTCACAAGATTCGTCTAATAATAATAATTTCTCTAATTTGGATTCAACAGGCTCTGACATACTGCGATTTGAAATGTATTCACATGGCCGGCCTAGCAGAAGTGTTGCGATTGTACCCCGAGTACCAGCAAGAGTTTATTCATGACATACAACACGACCTCACTTACAACTTGAGGGAGGGATATGAGGCAGAACAGGAATCTGACGGAAATGGACATCCATCTTTAACGTTACCTTCCATATCAGAAGATGATGAAAACGCTGCGGAAGATCATGCTTTAACGCCTAAAAAGCTGCCTTCTTCTAACACTAATAGTCCCCGTCACACTAAATTTAGGTAACATAACTTATACTTTCAACCGACAGTTTTAATTATTTTATGAGTTGGCAGCAGTTTATAATTTATTATGCCGTCTCGAAATTAGCTTGACATTTCACGGCATGTCATTTTACGTTACTTTCCTCATTTCTGGTAATATGTCACTTGCTACTCGAAACAGACTCGAATTTAAACATGTTTGAACATATTGTGAAATAGTTTCATACTTTAAACAATTAAATGCGAGAAACTCAGTGGGCTGTGTCTATGCGAATTAACTCATAGACACAGCCCACTGGGTTCCTCGCCGGATCTTCTCAGTGGGTCGCGTTTCCGATCCGGTGGTAGATTCTGCGAAGCACTGTTCTTGCTAGGGTCAGTGTTAGCAACACTCCGGTTTGAGCACCAAGAGCTCACCTACACACGTTAGGGTGAAGCTGAAATAGCCACTCAAGGCAATCAGCATAGGTAGGAAAAAAAAACCTAGCCCCGGAATTTCTCTTGTTAAAATAAATCTGCATATAATTTCGGAAACATTAGATTTACTTTCTAATTCGGTTATAACTCATTTCGAAATTAATTTAGCCATGTAAATATTTTAATTTCATATGAGTTTATAGATTGATTGAACAGCCTTGTTTCGTTTCACGATAATTTCAAATAATTTCCATTTTAATGATTATTTTGATTGCAAATCGAGGCGCTCATCAGACTAAAATATTCATACTATATAAATGTTTTATAGCCATTACGTTATTCACTTAAAGCTTTTTTATAAGTCATGTACCTAGTTTAGTTTAACTTGTATAATAGTTAATATTATTATACGACTGTAATATGAAACCTGTAGCTTCGAAAATTTAATATTAATTAAATCTAATAAGACATCATTGAATGAAGAATTATGATTCTGTGAGCCTCCAAACAAAAGAAAAACACTGTTTTATTATTATTACATTATTGTTATTTTATTGTTATATTATTTGCCTATTCCACAAAGTCTAAATAGCGTTTAGATGCAAAAAGGAAACCTCGTGAAATATCGACCGGGCTATTTCAGGATTGACGGACAGCGCCTTTCTCACAGGGAGTTACGTGAGAGGATAGAAAGGCAACGCTCTGTCGCAACACCGAAGATAACTCGAGCCGATTCCTTGGAAGGTCTAAATTTAGAAGTGCATAATACGAGGTCTTCTGTCGAAAGATTGGATACACAAGTGTCTACTTTACATCAAGACGTCGCAACACTCAGTATGGAGGCAAGTTTTAGATCCATAGTTTTCAATTTAATTTGTATTTATATAATAATTGTAAACTATTTGAAAACAGACAGGAGACCGCGTTGGCTTCCCAGTTTTAAGCAGCTACCGGCTCCGTAGACTTATAAAGCTTACTTACAAGCATCTTGAGACCTGGAACAATAGTTATCATTGTTTTTACAGCGATTAACCTGCCCTTCAAATTGTAACGCAAGGTCGCATCAAGGCAGTTATTGGCAGGACGGTGATACAAACCCTTCTCTATCTTCAGTTAGTAGTATCTTCCTGTGTCTCAAACTAATTTCGTGCTTTGCCAATGCCAGGCTTGCTAATCCCATAGTTGAAGTTAAGCAGACAGTTGTCATTGCCTAAAATTGTAAACTAAATCAAACTAAACGTGAATAAGCCTGCCGATCCCACTAGCTGGAGATATTTCCCATTATTTTATAATAAGAATCTAATAAATGCGAGTTTATGTTATTTTGCATTGTATTTCAAAGACATTGACCTCGTTACTATTGTTTATATTCATTTAATATAGTTTTATATTACGAACAAACTAATTTACTAAATTTCGATTTAGATTGCATAATGAAAGTAGAGGAGGAGGTTGAAAAGCTATTTTATTTAACTCACATGTTTTTGCATAAAAAAATTTTTAATGACATATCCATTTTAAATCTGATTGAAATTAAAATCAGATAAGTTCACAATTAATAAATACGACCTCGATCGTATTATTTAGGGACGTGAGCCACAGAATTTAGTGTACAAAACATTCTGCGTTAACGGTTCTAAAATGAGAATACTTCTTCAGAGAATCACATACCTACATACAAGAAATTTTCGGTTTAGTATAGTTTGTCGCCGGATCTTCTCAGTGGGTCGCGATTCCGATCCGGTAGTTGATTCTGCGAAGCACTGCTATTTCTAGAGCTTATGTTAGAAAATTCTCTTAGGTTGAGCCCGTGAGCTCGCCTACTCGTCCGCGAAAGTTGGAATAGCCCCTTATGGAATAGCCCCCGCGAAAAGACACAACTCGAATATCGAATAAAGTATGCTCGCTCCGAGTTAGTGTCATGATCAATCACATGCCGATCCAAATTTCAGTTTCTCCTAACGCAGAACCTCGGTGACAGATTCGGACAGATAAATTTTATGATGTAATAATTCACAGCGGACGTGATGGAACCGCAAAATGATGGTTCGTCTTCTATTCGCGATAGGTTAAGAATACGATCGCACTTCCTTTGACATCAGACTTTAAGGTCCTCGTTCACGTTTATTTGACCGTAGACGATAAGTTTAATGAACTAAATTAAGGTAATTTTAATATTTTCAGCATAACATCATATTTAAAATTTAAGACTATTTGCTATCCGGATTAAATTGCTTTATATAGAGATTATACTAATATAATATTAATAAATAATTAGCTGTAGGATTTAGTATACTTGTAAAGAAACCTAAATAAATTACAACATAGATTCGCATCGGTTTGACATGACTTAAATTAACGGAACTATAAAGAAGCGATGACGGATAACAATAAATATTTATGGATCACAGGTAAGGAATGCCATACAGGCACTTCAAGAAATGACAGGGCCAGCAGGATGGCACGCGGCGCACTCTATACCAAACTTGCAGTGGAACGCGCCCCCCAACCAACTTGCAAGGAGCTGCAGCCATCCACCGGATGTCTTTTGCTGGGATCAAGTAAGAAATGAGATAAGATACATATGTATTTGGTTTAGAACTGGTTTTACTGGTGGTAGGACATATTGTGAGTCCACGCGGGTAGGTACCACCACCCCGCCTATTTCTGCCGTGAAGCAGTAATGCGTTTCGGTTTGAAGGGTGGGGCAGCCGTTGTAACTATACCTGAAACCTTAGAACTTATATCTCAAGGTGGATGGCGCATTCACGTTGTAGATGTCTATGGGCACCAGAAACCACTTAACACCAAGTGGGCTGTGAGCTCGCCCCATATAAGCATAATAAATAAAAAAGAAGAGCAGTTGGCAAGCAGTTCAAACCTTGGATTTTTTGCGTCGTGATAAATCATAGTCTCCTGAACCTGAATATGTGATTAACATTCATATGACTGTAGTAGAGCTTGTTTAATATAATAGGTTTTTTCATTTTGGTTCTTGAAGACATACATATATTTTTTTACTATCATGCTCCTAAAAGTGTACTGAGAGCAGTTAATGAAATAAGCAGTGTGATTGTAGTTCTTTTTTTTTTACCGGGTTGTTATTTTTTTTGTTTCCACACCAATAAATAGACAGGCAATTTTATAAGGTTTTTTTATAATAATATATATTAGGATACGATCTTCTAAACAAATAAGATGAATTTCAATCAAACTTGACTAATATTCACGAATGATTATTTCGGGATATTTTAAATACTTTATTATTATTTTATTTTATATTTTAACAGCAGGAGAGACCAGTAACTCCTGAGCGCCCGAAAATGCACCGCAGCACGCAAACCGAGCCATTCCTTCACAGCGTAACCCAATATATCATGGAGCATCCAGCTACTGTCATGTTATTACTCGGTATCGATCCGATGTCGAGTTTGCCACCCGTCATTCCGCAGCCCATCGATTATTACGACACTCGACGCCGACCTAGCGCCCTAGAACAGATTATAGAGACTGAAACCGGAAGTCACACCCCTTCTAGTACCACCAGTGAGAAATTCGAACCGATCCGCAGCCTCAGTGGGAGTGCCAAGGAACTGACTGCCCACGATCTGAGGAAGCAGTTTGATAGAGAAAGCAAAGAACGTCTGATAAGAAATCGGTATTCGACGAGTGATATACACGAGGAATCGGAACGATTGCTTGGCGCGAACAGGACACATTCAAGCACCCGTAGCCTCAAGTACAACATTAACAGTTAAATATTCCATTACATGTTATGCTCATTAGTAATAGACGTATGTAAATGTCAGTAATTTCAATGTTATTTGTTGTTACATCATTCATAGTATAAGATAGCATTAGACATATTTAAACTACATATTTGCCTACCATATCTAATATTCTATTTCTGCCAATATTACATATATACATATGCATAATATGTAACTACTGCTATATGCAGATTGACAGTAATATATGTATTTATAGTCGCACGGGAAGCACCTGCGATTATTCTATATAAATTTTGGATACTTCTTTCAATTCAACGAATTCTTATCGACGTTTACAATTTTTATACTCAAGATTTTGTTCACATTCTATTAATTACATTTGAAATGTGCATATCATGGAAAACGATTATAGTAAGTTATTATAATAAATTTAATTATTATTTTTAAAAAAACACTGTAAATAATCTAGTCAATATCAAAGTGAAAATGCATAGTGATCTATGGGAATATGTAGGAAATTCAAGTCAAATCACTTCAAAGTGAAAATGTGTATCATAACGACAGTATTATTATTTATATTTTAAATACAATAATATCTCTTAAGTAATTTATTTGTACTTTTTAGCCGTGTAACGGTATCTATCGATTACAATGTCTATTATATAGAAGAAAAATAGTGTGAAACTTTAAGTATATTTGTATATTTTGGATCATGTAGCGTTCTTCCATGTCTGTATTTAGATAATAAAACTTTGTATCATCTTTGTAAAGTATGCGTATTCAGTGGATAAATACTACGATCTCTAATTAGTTGATACTATAAATGTAATGAATATTGTCTTCCTTCTATTGAGCCAAAGTATGAACGTAGAGAAACTAAATGTGCCAAACTAGTCAGAAGCATAAACTTTCCAAATTAGAAATCATAAATGTTGTACTCATACATCATGATAATAATTAGATTAGTTCCAGAAACTTCGCGTATAAAAATTTGCCTATTTTATTTACTTTTTGTTCTTTTTGATTAAAAGAATGATTCAAAAACTAAATTGTGAAATTATTGTTTGATAAAATAATTCATTACAAAACAATTTAAAATTCTAGAGGTGTTTATTTTAACGCCTAGATAATAAAATCCGCCTTCATTTATAACGTTATTTATTGCTGCATTTTCGGGTATATTGTTTTTTTTTTTTTTTATTGCCCTTGTAGGTAGATGAGCATACGGCCCACCTGATGGTGAGTGGTTACCGTCGCCCATGGACTTCAGCAATGCCAGGGGCAGAGCCAAGCCGCTGCCTACCTACCTTTATTTAAAGAAACTCAATTAAAACTAACATTTAGGTAACTAAATGAATACGATATAACAGCGTAATCGTACTTAAGAATATGAAAATGATAACTTTATTTGTGTGAAGAAATCTTACCTTGTCGGAGCGGGGGAAATTGCTTCTGCAAATACAGATAAAACGACATAATGCGTGGTGCATAAATATTAACAGAGTACGGTCTGAATATTAAAATTAATGTAATGTCCGCAACAAAATTTCTAATGTATTTGATAATAATGAAATTATTGTGAACTGAAACGCTTATTAGAATAAATGTAATCTACTGCGGTGTTTTATAATGAAAAAAATTATTAATGTGATAAAGTATTTTAAACACGCGCAGTGCCTACGTTCTTGTTAATTTGTTTTTTAAGTAGATGTTTTATTATGATCTTAATTCAATTTCTATGTTATAAGAAACTGTAGTGCATTCGTTTGTATTACATAAATTTTGTAAATAATAAAAACTTTATTGATTGTGTAGTTAAAAATTATAGTTACCAGTAAACTAATAAAGACAAATCGATGTTCATTGGTATTTTTTTATTGTACTGAAACCTTTCTTGTTTTTTTTTCGTTTATTGCTTTAAATGAGCAGATTACTTTACGTCACATCGCACGGTTTGTGATTACCAGACTCCATAAACATTAATCAACTTGAATAGCGCTGTCCACTTCGATACGTAGCGCCGGAGTCTCAATTGTATTGTATAACAGCTGATCCGCTCTTCAAGCCGGAACATATGAATGCCACGCTGAAGAAATAAGCAGGGCGATAGAGACAGCTACCAGTAATTACAAAAAATATGAATGAAATTTCAATTCTCTTATACGTTATCAGTTCGAAGTCAATATAAGTGATGCTCAAAATCAGAAATATATTTCTATTCAGTGTACGATTGTGTGTGCGAATGGTGACCAATCATGAAGTAAAACGAAACTTAATTTTAAAAGGGCACAAAGTAAAAGTTCGCTGTATGGAATATTAATAAGCGGAAAAAAGATACTGCAAGTACGACAATTCTCGGGCTCATAAATTATTGAAATGGAGACGTGGAATCGCATTACAGATTTTGATTCGAATCTATTACTGAACAAAAAAGTGGTGGTCCGAGGCGAGCATAAAAATGAAGGCTATCAATCACTTTTCAATCCTGGTTATAAATTATTCAATTATAGTAATAGTTAAAGATTTTGATTATAAGTCACTGAGTATTATAATTATTGTAAGTCCAGCAGTGGACGTCTGTAGGCTGATAAGAAGAAGAAGAGTATTATGATAGTGATAGTTAACGCTGTTAGCTACTAAAAATCAAATTCAAATTCAAATTCAAAATCATTTATTTCAACTTAGATGTCAGTATGACACACTTGTTGAATGTCAAAATACAAATAACAATGTTAACTCTACCACCGGTTCCAAAAAAAGCCACAGTCCTGAGAAGAACCGGCGAAACAAACTCAGCGGGCTTTTTTTTGTTTTTGTTTTTTCTCAAATATTTTCTTTTTTTAAATAAATAAAAATATTTACAATAAAGGAAAAAACAAGTCAAAAAAATACAATTGAAAAATAATAATAATAATGAAAAATGAAAAGGCCAGGAGCGAGCGCCTCATTCCCACGTAGTGCCATCTAGTAAATAATCCTTAACTTTATAATATGCCTTGTTGCACAAACGTTCCTTAATCGTTTTATGACAATTGTGATCGGATAATTTTTAACATAACTTACCAGTTCATCCCTTATTTAATATGAGGCGGTGCTGACTTAGAATAGAAACAACACGTCGAAGTCTGAATAGGCAAGTGGGAACCAGAAACTAAAAATTAGCTAAATTATAACGATGGCTTAAACGTTATTTTCGCAGAATGTTAATGATTTACAAATTAAACTAGTGGAAGGTAATCTTATATTAGCTCTGCTCTACTAGTTGTCACTAATTGCTTAAAAAGCTGCGCGTTATCTATCGCACTGTTATATCGTTACTCTATTCCCGTAGAATGCTTTTTACTGGCGGTACGACCTCTTGTGAGTCCGCACGGGTAGGTTCCACCACCCTGCCTATTTCTGACGTGAAGCAGTAACGCGTTTCGGTTTGAAGGGTGGGGCAGCCGTTGTAAATATACGGAGACCTTAGAACTTGTATCTCAATGTGAGTGGCGCATTAACGTTGTAGATGTCTATGGGCTCCAGTAACCACTTAACACCAGGTGGGCTGTGATCTCGTCCACCCATTTAAGCAATAAAAAAAGAAGCATAATTTAATTACATAAAAACTATAGCCACCACAAGGCAAGTCAGACAGCCAAAACAATCAAAGGGAACCAACGTGTTTGACAAAGAATTGCAGTAGAGACCCTTCCTAGTAAAGAGTGTTTTTTTAAAAATAAATAATAGTGTTTTCTTTAAAAGACCGACACCAACCGCAGCCTAACATCACGTTGGTGGTACTATGATTGAGTGGTACTTCCTTGGAGTAACAGCCATAATCGTACCAAGTTTCATCACAATCGGATTAATTTTTTTTTTATACTTGATTCCAACCTTTTTAATGCTATTCATAATGACGTTACAATTATGTTGCTGGTCGTTGTATATTATGATCTATGGCTAGGTTGTCAACTTTAGTTTTATTTATTAAAAACTGAGTTTCCTTTTGTATTAAAACTAGCTGTCTGTCCAATCTAATAAACTAATGTTCCAAAAAAAACAGTCTTTATTTCACCAGTGCGTTGTTAAGCTTTAATCGTATTACGTAGGGTTTTACCTTTTATTTTCTTGTACCATCCGTCTAATCGTCAACCACCATGAAAATGTCGTAGTCACATATTATAATGAGAGTTCTCGACTCAACGTAAATTTAACCTTGTTTGTTCTCGAGTAAATTGTACGCTCTTAATCTTTTCCGCTTGCCTTTTTAAGTTTAGGCGAAAAAGGTGTGTGTTTTTTTATTTGAAAATGTCCTGAATTATTTATTCGTGGTCATTATTTGTTGATTCATAATGTTTGTGCAAATTCAAGTTAAGACGTACATTTGAAATTGTTTGTTAATAACACGATATTTTTCAATTTTTTTTTGTTATTGCTTAGGTGGGTGGACGAGCTCACAGCCCACCTGGTGTTAAGTGGTTACTGGAGCCCATAGACATCCACAACGTAAATGCGCCACCCACCTTGAGATATAAATTCTAAGGTCTCAGTATAGTTACAACGGCTACCCCACCCTTCAAACCGAAACGCATTACTGCTTCACGGTAGAAATAGGCAGAGCGGTGGTACCCACCCGCGCGGACTCACAACAGGTCCTACCACCAGTAATTACGCAAATTATAATTTTGCGGGTTTCATTTTTATTACACGATGTTATTCCTTCACCGTGGAAGTCAGTCGTGAACATTTGTTGAGTACGTATTTCATTAGAAAAATTGGTACCCGCCTGAGATTCGAACATCGGTGCATCGCTCAACACGAATGCACCGGACCTCTTATCCGTTAGGCCACGACGACTTCAGACAATCAACATTTTGTTTTACGGCCTTGTGGCCACTCAGCGCCGTACCAGCAAAAATCGGACAATCGCGAAACAAAACTTGCGCCCCCAGGGTTCCGGGTGCACAACGGGGCACTTCGAATACACAACCCCCGCAATCTACGCAACCCTCCAGAACTAACGTTGTTCTTGTATTGTGCACGTGTGTATGTTTCACATCAAAACTATGGGAATTTATTAAAGTTCCTTGGATTCTGTAAAGGAAGAAGCTGTGTACTGCAATAATATGGAAATTCGTCAACGCTTTCGATTTTGTTCACCCGAATGGATTATTTCTTATTGCTCTACAATG